GTATGCACTATACTTGCAATTCGGTGGGTTGGAACTCTACAGAATACATATTTCACTCTCTGGCTCAGAAAGTCACACTTTTTCCGGCTTTTGATCGAGTAATACTCTTCCGAAAAAGCGAATACATTAAGGCTATATTATAATACGCATTTAATCTGCGTCACACGCTTGAATTTGATTGAACTTTGATATCTATGGGAATGATATCTAAAGCATATTCCAGATGGAATTCTTTCTTTATCGTTGTGTTTTCTGTCCTGTCAAGAACAATTCGAATACACACCTACCTAGTCCCGATTTCTCCTTTCAAGTGCATTCCCTCCCGATTCTATAGCTCATCAGAATGGCCTGTCTTACCCGTGCGTATGCATTAGATGTCCACCCATCCACTCCATTTAAGCCCCCGTTTCTTAAACCTCGTTAAATTCAGCACACACTGTCCAGAATGTGACGGCAAATGCATAAATTAAAACTGCACATAAATTCTACCATAAGAAACGACACCCAAGAAGACCCCAGAACAGCGACTGCAGCAGCAAGGACGAGGGGGAGGATGAGTACGAGTACGAGTCAGACGACGGCGATGACGATGACCCCCATGGACAACCCCTTAAACTTCTAAGTAACCATGACTTGCTTGTGCTCCTAGGAGCACCCCCACTCTCCTTGCGTACTCGTAATTTGTGCTTATTGTGCAGTCCTGGCCGACTGGCCAAGAGAGCGGAAGGGGACAGAGATTGGGTGAGATTGTGGCGGTGGGGGGGGACGGGTAAGGGGCGATGGAGACTGTGCCAAGATGCGCACGGAGCCACAAAAGAAGCGGACAACGGGTGACCTCACCTCCCACACACAAGCAGGAGGACTCCATTTGTATGGGTCATACGAGTGTATGTGTGTGAGTGCTAATATTGAGGTAGGCCCTGCCAATGGCGAGGTGGTATTGGTTGAGATGTGGGAGTTTGGTCGATGGTCGTCGGAACGAGGCTTCGATGGGGGCGCAACTTGCACTCATCATCATCTCAAACTCAAACTCAATCGGCAGCAACAACAACAACAAAAGCAATCGCAGCGACAACAGCTCGCGATGCAAATGTGAACATCAGTGTGCGTGCTTGCGAGTATCTGTGTGTCGCTTTTGACATTTACTTTATGTATTCTTCGCATGTAATGAGGTAAGTGAGATGCAAGGGGTGCCGCGGCAGGCACCAGGCGACCAGGCCTATGTACGCGAAACGCACATTTGCACATATGAAATGCCGTTAATTATATACTTTACACGACACAAGCCCACGCACACAAGCGCTTACGAACACAGATACTCAGATGGACGGCGGGGACAGGCGGCAGTTTTAATGTACAACAAAAGTGCATTGTTGTTGTTGCCACCGCTGTGCGGGATTGTGTGCGGGTACATAGGAGCAGGAGGAGGCACCTCACCTCACCTCTCTATATACATAGACAACAACTACAATATGGGAGCACCCTATATACCCACACACACACACACACACACTCACACTTACAGGTACAGATTGCAGCATAGTTATATACAAATTTAAACCGCTTTTGTTCATCATTTATGTACAAAAAAAAATCAAAAAAAAAATATATTTTAATTCTTTTTTTTTTAACGCACAAAAGTGTGTAATGTAGACCGAAAAAACGATGGAAGGGCGAAACAACCATAGGCATAGATGGGGAGATGGAGCCTTGCCGGCCCTTATCATTATGATGGCCAGGGTTTGAGTATTTGCAATGCAATTTTTCGCAACATGCCGCAACAGTAACAACAACACAGCCCCCTTAATGGTGGGTGTCGGTGGTGCAGGCGAATTACAGTTGATTTTCCCTTCCCTACCCTTCGATGTACAAGCCACTTGAATGCGAAGGGCCTGCTGGATTTGTGCATATATCCATATGCCTGTGTGCTTCTCACCGGGTTTGTTTGATTTGAGAGAAAGCTACAAAAATAACATGAATAAAAAAGAAAAACAAAATGTGAAAACCAAAAAATAATTCAAACATATTTAAGAACAAGTCCAACCTCTTAGGAAAGACGGTAAGACAGAAGCCTAATAAGTTAACGCACAAATTAACGAGTGAACTGACAAAGGTTCAATTGCTTCAGTCAGCTGAATAATTATTGCGATTAAACAATTGCACGACCAACAGTAAAGCTTGCTTTTCCTATCGCAATCCCCCCTGCTGAGCGCAGCTTCGGTCGGCATAGATAAGAAAACATTAGATACTGTAGATAACGAGGAGTAAGCTTAGAGAACTCGTGGCAGGCCGAGTAAGTTCAAAACTTAAACTAACAAAAGAGTAACCACAAGAATTTGCAACAAAAAAATACTTGGCTGAAGGCCAATAATTGGCTGGTCTTTGGAAAGCAGCTCTTGAACAAAACCTCTGCTCCGAACACGGTGTTGATTTGCGGTGTTCATTTCTTATGCGGAAATTTTGATACCGATTCCGATGCGGACCTCGCGATCGCTTCTGCTATTTCTACAGAACCACTCAAAAGTGCTGCCTTGTCTGCGGGACAGTTGGTGGGCGTGTTGTTGGGCATAACCTTTTGCTTGGTGAATTGATGAATTCTTGACGATAATCATCGCCGTCTGTCTGTTCTGGTTCTACTTTAATGTGACGGATCGTCGTCACCATATTCAGCAGCCGTTGATTATATTCTGCCGGTGAAAAAGACGTTGGCCGATCGTCATCCCCCGTCGAATGCCGAGTCAATGGCTTCGATATCCTCAGCGTCATCGTCTTGCTATTCTTCATATTTTTCGTCTCCCTTTTCTATTATAACAGGACTTTGTTCTTGCTTAATGTTCCAGTAGAACAGCAGATGTATCGTATCTTGTCCTCATCGGTGTGTGCCGGAAATGCAGATGGCGATACCGGCAACTCCGTTTTTTGGCAATAATATAAGATATAATTAAAGGTATACTGCTACAAATTTTAGGTATATTATATGTACATAGGTATATTAAAGAGCTTACCTTGTTGTGGTGGCTGTGTAGACAGGTTTGTGTAAGGTTTCAATTTTACCACCACAATTTATAGCATCAATAATAAAGAAATTATAGTCATTTAATCATTAAATTTGTGTGCATAACTACATTTCTTACTTACGGAGTCGGCGTACTGCATTGATTGGGATTCATTTGGAGTTATTTAGAATTTCTAGCTTTGCGTCTTGTGCCTCTGGTTTGGGTAAGTTAGGTTAAAAAGCTGTTACTTTCCGTTCATAGTATGGCAACACCAAAAACTTTGTTATACATGTAATTAGACTTTACATTACATCTGCTCACTGGCGCCCCCAACTTTTAACTCGGGAATCGATTTTTATTGATGTGGTAGTACTACAATCTGCAAGGCTTACTTTCAACCATTTTGAGTGATATGGCAGCACTCCGCTACCCAAGCCGTTGGCGGGCCATTTGAAATGTTGACGGACCGTCAGAACAGCTCAGACTATTGAGAGCCGAACGACTAGGGGCAAACTAATTTGGATGGCATTGCTGGTGTTGTCTAGAAACCACGCAATACGTATGCGAAGGAGCGGAAGCCGTCTCGACTCCTACTTCATAAACTTAAAAAATAAAATTCCGTGACTCTACACTCTACTCTACTCTACTCCGAAAACAACAATATTCTTATTCCTAGTACACACGAAAACTAAACGGCTTAATCATATGCACGTACCAGAAGGTACCAGGGGCTTTCGTCTTTCGGTTCCAAAAAGGCAGCCGGCGTGAGGCCTTGAGATGGTAGTCGACCCACACGATTCTTTACACATACTTTCCCACATTATAACCCATGATTTCCAGTTGTGAGAAGGTTCTAATATTTTGAAAGAAACAACTAAAAAAATGTAGTATCCCCTGATATTCTGTGGTTTCCTTTTCCTTACCTCTCGTTTTTCTAAATTAAAGATCTTTTTTACAGAAAACTAGAACTAAGTGTGAACCATTGCAAAAAACAATTACCATATGGCCAAATTACAAGAACATACAGCTGTATGTTATGTGTGCTATATGCTAAGTGTGCCAATAATTTGGCTCGGTTAATTTGATAACTTTTTTCGCTAAAAAAATGTTACATACATACAATATATACGATTTTATTAAAATGATTAAATTAAATTGAAAATCTATGTATCTCCTCTGGACAATCTGGACTTGATCCGCCAAGGAGCGCTGTCGACTTCAATTGCGGCAGCAACTGGATCAAATTCTTTTCCGATAATGTTCTACCATAGCATTAGCTATGTTATTTTTTCCAGTCTTTTTCTGGCGTTATAATGATTAAGTGTTCTTCGTTTTCGATGTTGATGTTTTTTCTTAAGCTTTTACTAAATTTCTAATTTCTAAGAAATATTGAGTTTAAAGTTGAATGTTCTGTCCACTCTTTGAATATCTAAATATTCCTTCAAAATCATCTTCAGGGTCAGGCTCGTATTCATCTTCCTCCATATGATGCAATCAGCATCTAAGAGAGATAGAGAGAGAGAAAGTGAGAGAGATCAACGGCACCCTAAAAGAAATGATAACCAAGTTGGATAGAACAATTATTTTGGGAGCGGAATTTGAACGGTCGTGGTCGTGGTGGATAACAATATTGCCAACAAGCAACATGGATATATGTATATTGTTGTTCTAAAGCGTTACAAAAATTTAACTTGCACTACGTTAATTTATAAAAAAAAAATTTAAAACGAAGCTTCCATGTGAGCGTTGGAGTTTTTACTCAGGTCTCGGGGTAACGGCGTTGGAATATTTCTCAGTGAAAACAACTTTATGTTCCCTGAAAATGACTACGACTTTTATCAACCATCTTGAAGTTTAGGACTAATTTAGAGCTATAAAATAAATTAACTAATATTAATTTTTCCACATTTCATATCCAGCTAATACGATATAGGTGTACGTAGCAAGGGAACACGATTTATATTTTTAAATTGATCCAATTTGAATGAAAGTACTTTTTGCAAATATCTTACAAAGAGATTTATTCTTATCGAAATCAATAAATGTTTGTGTATGCTCAATCGACATATTATATTAATTTTATCACCAGTCAGCAATTTACGCCAGAGGTGATATGGTATTAAAGTTTCCGTCTGCGATTATATCCAAATAACTAATCTGGAACTACCGCAAACACTCCTGCCCACATTTCGTCAGTCTGGCCGTGAAGTTATCCGTTTCTGCATACCGGGCAGAGTTCTTTAGGCGTGGGCTGTACCAGACTCGTAATTAACTTTCTCCATAGTTGCTCCATCCAAAGTAGATCCAATGCAGTTTTCTTTTGATAAGTGATTGTCTTTTGAGGTCTTAAAACTAATACATATACATCATCTTAAGTAATAATAACGGACACAATAGCAGTCCCCAGTCATATAGAAATTCCTGAAATTTCAACACATAGAAATTGGTGAATATGTGAAGGATGATTCGTACTCGCATTTAGTATGTGTATATGTACCCTCCCTTTTTATTTTTACATAGATTGATTGACTTTTTATGAAATATAAATATATGGAATAGATCAGTCAAAGCTTGAAGAGTAGTCTGGTTCATATATCACGATGGGAACTGACTGGGAGACATGTGGTCTTACTTGTAATAAAGAACTAAAGAGAATTGTAGTGTGTCATGATTGTCTATGTGATACACATTGTTTTTCAAAACGTTACAAATTTTATTTTAAACAAAATTAGAAATATACATTTCTGTACTCGAATACGATGTACAAAAACATCTTAACAAAGATAAAATTAAAACACACATTTTTATACTCTAGATTAATTATAAATGATGTTCCATATTCCAGTATACTGCAATTGCACGTGTCCAACGTTGTCCACGATATATTCTATACAAAAATATACGAAAAATGAATCAAATATTCCTTTTGTTTAATTTTCGTACACTCACCGCTTCCAGGTCTCCGAGATACTCGCAAATAAGTTAGCAGTCAAGGGGAAAATTAGACGTCAATACGTTAATAAATTTAATCACAGTAATAACTAAAGGGGGATTTGAACATGCCAAAAACTAATTCAAAAACAATGCAGGAGTATTGGGAAATCTGACTTGATTATAGGGGAATCTTGTACAATTTTTGAGAAAATGTGGTCTAATTAGAGTGAAGTTTTTGGATAAATAGCGGTGGGATATAAAGAAATCATGCCGAAAGCTTCGATTAAATAGAAAAGTATTTCTTGCGAAAACAGTATGTCAACTTCCCATTGTTGGTTGTTGTTTAATAAAAATGAGATTTGGTAAAACACTGGTCATACATACACGCAGCATCCCTTCTGCTTTTCGATATTCGAGGGTAAGATCTGTTGATTGGCATTTGCTAGCTGGATATACATATGTTTTTGTTTTATAGTTATTTCTGTTATAAGGAGATCGTAAAGGAACGACTGGATTTGAATTTAACTTTCAGCTGGTTGTTGACAAACTGCGCAGGGAATCAGAATTTTTCGTTAGTAAAATTTGCAAGCTTCTATTTCTTGATAGTCAGACGGGAAATTTTAACACTTTGAATATATGTTATGATATCAGAGCAATGTGCTGCCCTGTTTTTGCTTCAGGTTATAATGTTCGCTTGTTTTCTATGACTAAGTAAACTAAGCTTTGGTTTGTACAATGTGTCAAGTGTCGCTTTGCAATGAATTCATGATGCTAGGAATAGGATTTTATGAATATTGATCGACTGAACATCTGTACATATTTACATTGGTCAGATATGTGCTTGGTGTCAGCATTAGCGTAATTGTGTACTCGTTCTATTGTACATTGCCTATATCTTAATTATCAGCTTATGTCTAGCACGAGACTCATTTACCTTTCCGACATTTGAAGGCGGCTTCATCTTGGTCTTCGTTTTCGTTTTCGTTTTGGTCTTGAGCATCAGGATCCTCTCTCCGGGATCCAATTACGGGTAATTACGTGTTGAAGTTGGAATATGGATTGAAATAAAACCTAATTGTATATGTTTGTATTTCTGTCAAATCTTTCCTTTTTTGTATTTATTATTGAATAATAATAATTAAAATTTTACAATCGTTTTCTCGGGGTTCCATCTTATGTTCTTTTTTGGTTTTTTTTTTGTTTTGGTTTACTTTCAATTTTGGTTTTATTTTTTTCTATAATTTACTAGGTCAAAATGACCAATTTGTCAATTTCCTTCTAATTTTTATTATCATATATTTTTGGTTTTTTCATTTAATTCTGTATGTTTTCTTTATATGCAATTATTTAAATTTAATTACTAATAACGACATAAAAAATCAGCGCTTCTCTTTTGTTTTTGTATTTTTGTTTTATGTTTTGTTTTTCACTTTTTAAAATTAATTTAATTTAAATATTTACTAGTTTACGATGCTTCTCTTTTGACTCGGTTTTCATTGAACCCTTATTAAATGTCTAATTAAATTTTATATTAAAGTTTTATTTTATTTTCTTTGCGTTTCTTTTTCTGTATGTTGGTTTTGTTTTTAGTAGAGAAAGAGTTGGTTTTGTGTTTCATTGGTTTTTGTTTTGGTTTTAATAAATATATACTTTTATGTATATTTTTTAAAATTCATTTAAATGCAACTAGTTGTAGGAAAAAGTTTCATTTGCTTTCAAATATTTTCTTGTATTATGTATTACCATGTATGCTATATGTATGTATGTATACTCTATACTTGTTTGCCAGTGTAAAAAAGAAGTATATATATGTCTGCACTCACACATACACACATATATGAATATCATTTTAGTGTACCTATGTATGTATGATGAAAGAAACACTTTCCACTGTCCGTTCCAACTGTCCTTTTTACGCCCTAGAAATGTATTAGTACGAGTATTAATCCCAGCCAACTTTTCCCAGTTGTCTGGATGTGAATAATATGTTCGATTAGGTTCCTCCACCACCATCTCTGCCTCCATCTCCACCTCCACCTACACCTGGTGGGGCCTCACTATTTTCTAAATCTATTTTTTACTTGGGTGACATTTCGTTTAAAAATTGCTTATGTGTAGACTCTTCTTCAACTTCAGCTAATTGAATGTTGAACATAATCCCGTATCGACTGCTGGCTGAAATCTGTCCAGGGCTGTTTGAGTGTTTTGTTTCCTCCTTTCTGACTCGCTTTTTTGTTTGTTTTTTGAAATGAGCACAAATGATGGAAATGTATAAAATATTTAAAATTAGTTATTGTTTTTATTTCTCATGCTGGCAGCTTGTTGCTATGTTCTCTATTTGTAGATATTCTTATGCGTAGGATTGAAATCTATCGTTAATTGTTCTCACTGACGTTCACGTTGGAAAAGCATACAAAATAAACGTATATCCATATCAAAAAGACGAACAAAAATCCCCACAAAACCTGTCTATCTGTTTCTGTCTCTGATCTATTTGTATTCGCGCTGATCTGGTAGGAATCTAACAAAATATACATAGAATTTCACCTTTCATCAAAATATCTCCATTCCACATACATTTTCGGTTACCCCATTTATCGTTTATCAAAAGCTAATCCTTATTTATACATACAAATTCAAACTGTCCCGAAAAAAACGTTAATCCAGAAATGGAAAGGTTTAATCAAATGTTTATATAGCTATAAAATGGCTGGCATACAAAATTCGATATAAAATTGCTTCAAAATTGTCTAAAACCCAAACTGATTTAAAATTAAAAATAATCCGAATACGAGTAGAACCATTTCTCAATATCCTCGTTTGGTTTGTCTTTGTCTTTGTCTTAAAACTATTGCTAGCTGTTCTGTTGTGGTTGTACTCGAATCTCTGTTTCTTTCAGCTCTTTGGATAGAATCTTAATTACAGCTACAGCTACTCGCACGAGTTCCTCGGTCTGTGTCTGTATCTGTTTCTGTGTAATCTGTGTTGCTTAGACTAAGTTCTGTTACTTTGTTTAGTTACTTATCATCTTATCATATTTTCCATTATTTATTCTTGCAAATTATTGTTTTTGTTGTTTATTTTTTTCTCTGCTGTTGCTGTTGCCTTTTTTTTGCTTGTATCAGTTTCTGATAATATTTCGCTTAGTTTATTTTATATTCAAAGAAAAATTCTGATTGTTTTCATTGCACAAGATTTACAATTAGAAGCAGAATAACTGTAACTTAAAAATTAAAAAATTAATTCCATGTTGAACGTTTTCTTTTGTGTGGAAAGAAAATGCTGTGTGAAATTAGTCAAACTCAATTTTTCATTTCATTCGTTCGATTTGGTCATGGGCTCTCGAGTCGAGAAAATGGCAAGGAGTCAAGGAAGGAAAAGTCTCTGGCCTGGGACCTTCTTCGGGTCTGTAAAGGAAGATCTGTCAGAGTTTCTCCCCCGTCTTGGTCCTAGCATTTGCTCAACCGACTCCCATGCCCTGTTAATTTTTAAGATTTTCTTGCCTGTGTTATTTATTTAGTTTAGTTGTGGAAATTGTGTGCTTGGCTAGATAGCGGACAGTAACATACTGTAAGATCATACTCTAGGAATATAAGAGTCATCCGACAGTCGAGTATTTGCTAGTGGATTTATGTATCAAATGTATGAGAGATTTTGGATTTGGGCAGACTGACTCCCGATCGCAGAGATCGACTCTATCATACGAGTATGTATATAATTGTATAAAGCTCCTTGGGTTACGAGTATATGTGTTGGTTGTCCTTTTGTAGTTGTTCGTTTTTGTTCTTATTTTCGTTTTCAAGTATGTATTTGTATGTTTTGTGCGCTCAATACTGAAGCGAAGCACATAATTACCCATGCACCGGCATGTTCTGAGTTCTATGGTCTTGTGATGTTCATTGTTATTGGTATATATATTTTTGTATTTGTCGTATTTGTCCGACTTGCCTCGCTATCCTTTTCATTGTTCAGCTTTTTGCTTGTAATGAATTGCCTCTGGTGTTTGTACAGTGTATAAACTTTTAGTATTCAATTTCAAATCACAAAAATAAAAATCATAAATCATAGACAACTCATATCAATACCAAAAGTTAGACTGTGTACGATGTTTCGCTGTTCTCACTGCGATAAAGGAGCGAGCTCTTGCCTGAGACCTGGGTCCACGCAATAATTCGCTCGATCATCGTTTGCATCACCAAAAAATCATGCAATTCATCAACACGCAGATATTATTGCTCGCAACCATTAAATTTAATCAAATGTGCCTCGATGTAGCGCCAGTCGAGATGGAATGCCATCTATGGGACACATTCCATCTGCTGAGCGCAATGGGCTGGTTCACTCAAAATCACTGGATAAATCTTGTTTTCATTTTCTTTTTCGTCATATATCTCTCTTTCGTTTTTTTTCGTAGTTAAACTTTTGTGAATTCTTTTCTAATTCCAATTTGGATGGGTTATTCTATTGGTTTTGGTTTGCTTTAAGAGGTTTGGTTTTTAGGGGATTTTAGGTGTTGGGTTTTGGGTTCTTGTGTTTATTATCCTATCGTGTTCTGTTCAACATAAAAGTAAAATGGGGAGGGATCTAAATTTACGTAGTAGTGGATATGTTAGGTTAATTGGTTCTGTTTTGGAAATGCAGTTTTATCTAGAGAGGAGAAGGGTGGCTGAGTTTTGTATTTTCCCTAAGTGTCTACATAGTTAGCAGAAAGGTTTCTTGGAATTGACTTCCATGGACTGACCTCAATGCCGCTTGCGAAGATTAATATTCTGGTTAGTTATTATTCTTCAGTGGATCCAAAAACGTTGGGCTCCGATCTCATGTACATACATTCACATAGTAATATATATTGGAATTTATTTTCATCTACAATTTTTCACTATAAAGCTCACAAAATGAAGTCTTCCAAAAAGGGTATCTTGGGGTCTTGCCCTTCTGGAGACTTTCGAACAACTGCATAATATTTTCAAGTGTATCCAAAAAAAAAAATTCCGAAAATTTGTCTTGCTTTTTAAAATATAAAAAATATAAAAGAAAATATACCCGTTTTGATTGTAATTAATTACATATACAAGTATATGTATACATATGTATCTGTATAGTATAGTCAGTGGAAGAATGAAAGAGAATGTCTGTTGGGTATGGCGGTGAGGTTTGGGATACTCTTTTTAAACTTAATTTTTAATCAGTTTTTTGGTACTTTTTTTGTTTTGTAAAGAATTAGGAAAATTGGAATTAAAAATTTGTAAACAATTTTAGGACATGATTTTTTTAAGTCTCTTTTTGTGTATGTGGTTTTTACGAAAGACTTTCTTTAAACGAGTTCTCTTGTTTATATTTAAATTATTGTATTTTAAAGACAAGATTTTGTTTATTTTTTTTTTTAGTTTTTTTTTCTGTGTGTATTATTTAGTCAATGGTATTTATATCAAGTGTTTTTCTCTTTTTTTGTGGTTTTTAGAGTTTTCCTTTTGGTTTTAATTTACTTAAAAAGTTTCGTTATTAATTTAATAATTAACAAATTGATTTTATAATAAAACCAATAACAATAACCACCTCGCCCATATGGCTACGAGACAATAATATGTGGTGCTGATAGTAGTACAGCTATTGTGGCTAATATTGTGAACATTGTGAATATGATAAGGCACAGTCTGTCAACGACCATAGCTGCAAATTTCCAATCATTGGCAATGTCATTTGACTCGTCATCTTTACGTAGCTGTGTTTGGTTTGTGGTTTTTGTGGATTTTGTTTCATGGTGGGGTTGGTATAAGTATTCGTAATCGTATTCGTATTCAGAGAGAGAGAGAGAGAGAGAGAGTGTGTGTTGAATTGGAGAGAAAAGAAGAGGCAAAACTATTAACTTTCATCTGTAACAATGATGGGGAGTGATAGATGCAATGGATGTTCGTTGCAGTCTGGGTCTGGAGCATGCATTTGTGAATAAGATACTTTGAATCCAATAACAAATAGGGATAGTTTCCCAAGATATTCCACCCTATGGTCACGAATAATTCTCAGCCAACTTACCTGATCAGTTATAAAGCGAATTTCCTTTAAGATTAAACCTAATTCATATTCTGTTGATGATTTGATGCACGTGTGATGACTGACCGCATCTGGCATTCGAGTGCTGCCAATTGGCCCAATGCTCCCATCGTCGCCTTGTCTGCAAATTGGCACAAGGCCAGAAACATGGGACGTGAGTTGGTTATTCCACTTAGCCGAATGCTGACCCAGGGGCCAGAGCAGCAAAGTATTATGCTTATGGTACGAGTATGTTTGGATTCATTACCCATAAACCGTGCGATAGAAGGCTGGGTTGTGTGGCAGTGTTCCGCCTGGCGTCATGGGGCGACAATTGTGGCGAAAATCATCATCGATGTCCAGAACATTGGCCAGCAGCGATTTCGAGGAGCTTCGTTCGGGGAAGGAGGACAAACAATTTGGTAAGTACACTCTATAGGTCTATAAATATTTTGCCCTGTTCTTGCTTTCGCTTTTGGTTTCGCTGTACGCTTGGCAAGTTTATCCAGAGCCTACTTTAGTTGGGTTCATATGTGCATTCGATACATTCGTACACTGAATGCCCCTTAAAGATTGCCGAGGAATATGCTGCGACTATCAGACGAAAGAAAAAGCAAGAACAGCATAAAACTATTGCTAAATACCGCTCTTTCAGCTCGACATCGGAGAGTATCTGATGCTTGCGCTCAGACGACGTGTCCGAGCAGGGCGTGGTCGGGAACTCCAGGATCAGTGGTCGTCCCGGGCGACTCATTCGTAGTATCCAAGGCAACCAGCATAAAAATACGATGCGTATCTAACGGCAGGTGGCAGGTGGAAATTGAAACGTTTAGTGGAACGAGCCCAACGATAACCCCACTCAAAATTATTATTATATTCATATATAGGTTCCAATTGCGTGTGTTACTCGTACAGTTCGTGTTGGGAGGATGATGATGGCTTGTGTCTCTGGTCGAGAGTGCGGTGTGTGTGGCTCAACCCGGCACGCCACGATTTATGGCTACTTTGCATGAACAGACTCACACGCCCACGCCCACACCCACACTCACACAAACACACCCGCAGACAGATGGCCACAAGTATGATTTATATTTGATTTGATTACAACTAAAGCAACAAAGTTGTGGAGTCGATTATTTGGAGAGCAACATGTTGGTGTTCTGTTCCCCATTTCGGGTGCGGTTCCCATGTGTTCTCATGCAGGATGTTTGTATGGCTGTATGTATGGCTAGTGATTTGTTATTACACTTAAATATAGTAATATTTCTTTGTATGTATGTGTGTGTCGGCGAGTGTGCCCAGTGCCAGTGCACGTGGGAGACTGGCAAGGTGGGGGCTCGCTGTTCGCAAAGTTCTCTGCTTATTTATAGCTATGATGCATGCAAAAATCATGATTTACAACACAAACACAGATATGTGGATACACAGATATTAAACACGAAACACAAGCGCACAGATACAACACAAGCAATAATGGTGGCAACAACTACACACATACTTCCGAGAGAATCCCCTAGTTCCAAATCAGAGGCGATTGAAGTGAGCCGTTGAGCTTTAAAGACATTCACACCGAAATCGGGTTCCGATTTAAATTACACTTTCTAATCGTGTCTAATTTTTGATTGTCCATACACTCACACTTTTCGAATATACTTATTATTTATAAATAATCAATGCCTACAATGCATGTCCCACTAGCTTCCTGAAGATTGAGATTACAGCCAGATGGCTGTAGTAATTGTGAAAATGTGATTCTATAGCTATGAGTTTACATCTTTTGAAACTGGGCCTTAGTCTGCCTATACGCAGACCTTCATGGCTACATCGAAGATAGATCATTTATACTCTTTTTTTGGGTGAACTCCGGGCTTAACTATTCATAATCATATTTATAAGATACTCAATTATTGTTTCCTTTCGGCAAAGTTGGATCAAAGGCAAGTTCAGAAACGACACCCCAGTTCCCTTTCCAATCACATTGAACATCCATTGCCTCCCCCTCTGGTTGGCTGGTGGCATGGTTGAAGTGAATTCAAATACCGCGCGAAAAAGCCACAGAAACAAGAACCGAATCGATAGTCGCGACATGCATTGTGCCTCGCCAGATCTCATGCACAGTACCCGCTCTTCTGTCGCTCTGTCGCTCTGTCCCCTTGTCGCTGTCTCCTTAACAATATTAGAGTTGAGCTGCTGAAATACCCTCGCTTTCAGCTGACAACCTCTCTTGCACTTTACCCGATACTGATACTGCTCCTGCTAGTCCCTGTGTCCTGCCCTATCGTTTCCTTGTTGGCGATTTTTCTTTTTTGGCTAACAAACGAGAAGCTTACATGGAAATGCGCTTCAGGACGTGGCATGCAAACTAAATGCAAAGTTAACCATTGCAATGGAGCAACTGGCATTTGCCATATCCATATCAATACGTGCTCGTACGTACCTATATAAGGACGTATATAACGCCCACTCCAGCCAACCAACCCCTCTGCTCTACCATCTTTTCTTTTTGTGCAAATTTTGTGCAAATTGATTTGTTGTTATCACACAAAAACGGAGCCAATTCAAGTGCCAGGAGACAGGCGACAGGCGACAGGCAACAGACGACAGGCGAAGAGCTCGAGGAGCAGAAGAAGTTGCGGGCCAAAAGGATTTTTTGTGCATGCACATTTCTAATGCACCTGCCTCGCCAATTGGCTCAATTTTCGTTCTCGTGTCAGGACAACTCACAACTGGGGCAACTGTCAAGCCCGACGCAAGCCGTACCTACCTTGTCCCTACCCATGCCCATACCCATACCCGTACCTATTCGCGTTCCACCCATCCCCTACTATTGGCTTTCGGTTACTTTGTGTGCTCGAAAATCGAGGATTTGGTTTTTCCTTCATGTGCTCCAAATTCAATTGTATGTCGAAAGGTCTGCGAGCTTGGATGGATGGAGGGACAGGGACAGGGACAAGTCCACATTCTTGCGCGAAAACCATACAAAACTTTTCATGTGAGTGACTTCTTAAAAGCCAATCGACTTCCACTGAGTTTCCCTTATTCTTTTCTCCTTCATCCTTATCTTTTCTCTCATTCCCTCTCCGGGTCTCGTCCAGCGCAACTTTTCATTATGCACTTTGTGGCAATTGCAATAATGCGCAGAAATTGCTTTCCACTTGGATGTCCTGTAACAGAATCATGATGAAAGCGCTCTGATGTTTCCCGTTATTGATATTACACTTTGCGGTAAAGGTGGAGACTCTTCCGGCGGTGGTCTTGTTTGCTATTTAATAATATTACTAGATACACTTGATTCCCTAAGTGGTTCCTTCAAGCATTTTTACTCTTTCAGAAAATTGTACAAGTTATGAAATTCGGTTCTATGAGTATTTACGATTTACTTTGTTGAGGTAATTCCTAAAATGACATTATATTCTCCCCTCAATATTTATAGCTCAACGTTGTATTTCAGACACTCCTTAACTCTCTAGTTCCCCAACAAACATCTATCTTTATAAGACCGCACTCGGGCTGCGGATACTCTTTGAGCCGCTGCCTATCCTTTTTCTCTAATTACGCAAACTATCAAAACAGTCGGCTATCCACAGCCTTACAAACCATTCGCTGCTCATTCAGGCACATACAACATCAAACAATTTTTTGTCACACAGAGGGTCTATGTACAGGAAAATAGATAATATATACAATATAAATGAACGAGTATATGTGTTGGGACGGGGTAAGAGTGAAAGACAGACGGAGGAGTGCATCATATTGCATAATATATCATTTGACTGCAGTTTCGACTTTGTCATCTGGTTCTTGTAGGTTCTTTTCACATACATACATACATATGAGTATACGAGTATATAGGTATGAGTACGAGTACGAGTGTACGAGTACAGAGATGCAGATACAAAAGAGTGTGTGCAACTGGTGAGGAGGTACGAGCAAAAAAGGGCTCAACGTGGTTAGGATTTAGGATGGGTGTAAGGTTGGAAGTACTGGGGAGTTGGGACTCGGGACTCGGGATACTTGGTTTCTTGCTGGGATTCGGGTTGTGGCTTACATACACATAAGTAGAAATTATGGGCCCAACATCAACATTACGATATTTTTCATTACATAAATTATTTTATAGTAGACACGTATAGTAGCTAGACATGTTGGATGGTTACAACATTCATTTCGTACTCTGTACATCCGTCCGTCACATTTTGCTCGGCTCGGCTCAGCTCGGCGTTCGCTTCACATCGTTTCACTGCCCTCATTGGCCTCATTGGGCTCTTTTGATTTTCGGGTCACACACACATTGACTAAAACTGAACTCAACTGACATTTTTTTTGTCTGGGATTCCACTATATTGTAGATACATTTGCGTATACTAACGAAATCAAATTGACAAAACACCAAGTTCAGCTTGCAAAAGCGCCCCTATGTAGGCATCACAACTAACACAACCGAAAAATTGCAAACAACATAAACGGGCTGTTTTGTGTATGAAACAGAAATGCTGTTAAGACAACACAACAACAACAACAATGACAACAATAAAAATTATAATGATAACAAACAGCAACATATGTATACATATTTATTTGTGCAACTATTTGCTGATTTCTTTTGCATTTAAATTCTATGTATATATTTTTATTTTTAAAAGGAGCTTCAAGAGTTTTTAACTGGTCACTGATGAGGAGTTTATTTCTTCAATTAGTTGGTGCAGAACTATTTAATATAATGATCTATAATTTATCCTCGAAACTGTAAGAATAGATGAAAAGTGTAGGTCAGGGCTGTCATAATCACAAGATGGTACTTGCTCATAAGCGAATACCGCTGATAATTACCAAAGAATCTAATCCCCAATGGGTGTCTATTCAGACCAGAAAGAAACCACAAGAATTATTAGATTACTATTGTCAAATCATCTCTTTTTGTATCATTTGATGCAAACGGACAAATATATCGATAAAAATATTAAGTAATCATTTGGTAAACGCTAGTATTGCCATTTTCTGAAACGAGTCTTAAAACTCATTCATATTTTGTATTGGCTAAAGTCTCTGGCAAGATTTTGTACCCTTCTTAAAGCCGCTTTCCGTTACGCTTCGTACCGTAAACTATTCAAATTTTAGTGGAATTCTTTCTGAAACTACACCAGTCCGTTGAAAGATACTTTTCCGTTCAGTGTGCGGTCACAAAAGCTTACTTTATTTCTTTATGGTGTTTTATTAATATTTTTAAGGTTTGGTTTTTGGGCTTTGGGCTTTTCAAGAATGGAAACAACACAAAGTAACACAGTACAACAAGTAAGTAAATAACGTGAAAAGAGGAAACACAAAAACATTTCTCTAGCTAGCACATAAATTATTTTAGCATGGCTCTCGTATAAATTTAGCACTTTTTCTCTTTTTTGGTTGAGATAAATCATATCAAAAAATGCTAATGCTATGCGACAGTGGACACGGGACCGGCAACGACAGCAACAGCGACAGTGGCAGAGGTAACGGTAGCGGTAGTGGCTATGGGATCTGGGGGATTGGGATCTGCCCATCCGCGCTCTGCTCATCCGCGCAATCCGTAGATAGCTGGAGGGAGTGCCTCGTTCCAGATGATGCAGGAGGGCAGATCTATCCCCCAACAGACAGTTGCGGTCCCGTGGCCACTGTATACTGACTGGAGCTATATCGTACGAGTATATGATGAGTGATGGTCGCTTTTGCAGTGGTTTTATTTTGATTTTCTTTTTGTTGGAGAGTTTGGAGAGTTGGTTTGGTTGTAGTTTTACTTGTACGAGTAGTTGTAGTTGTAGTTGTTTGGGATGGTTGGTGGGTTGACCTATTTGTGACTTACCCATTCGGACATTTCGTGCGTATCAGCATTTCGATGATGATAATTTAATATTAAAATCGTTGACACAACGGATGAAGCTACCATAAACATTATGCAATTGAAATATGTACCTGTTGGTTGGTTGGGCGTGTTGTCAATATATATATATATATATGTATATATATATTACGTATATATAGTATATCGTTGGGTGTGTGTTAGATAATGTACGAGTAATTGTTGTTGTGGTGCATGTGAATATTGATTTGTTTTTTTGTTTCAGATGTTGGATTGTGGTTTTTTTATGTTAGTTCGATAGTTTTGGAGCATTGTTCAGGGTAGCGCATATTTCATAGTTCGGAATCATTCATAGTGTTTGATTTTGGTATGGTTAATATTTGGCATTTGAGAGCGCACATATGTAGTTTTTTCATAGTTTTGTCAAAGGTACACAGTTTGTTTGAAAGAAAGGAAAAAAGGCAAGAGATATATACAAAAATTTAGTTAGTACATTAAATGCAAGAATTTTTGTCTGTTAACTTCTGAGTTTCTCAATTCTTTTAACGACATAACAAATGAATTGGCATTAAAGAAAAATAAGTATAGGTTTATGCTCTTTTCTTTAACATACACACACACTTAGGTAACTTTAGTCGGAATACTTTAGAAAAATATTAGGTAGGTATACATAGCAGTTAGACACCGAAATCGTACGCCAAGAACGGAATTAGATATATTTTTAAAAATATAAATTTAATATTAAAGTTTTGAAACCTTTTTTAGAGATAGAGGTCGAATTTGAAAATTTAATAAATTTTTTCATAGGTTGTCTTCGGATTTATTGATTCATTGGTCATATGGTGGGGTTGTTCCTTGCTCTAATCTTCAAATCTTGTTTTAATTAAAATTAATATAAAGATATACAATAAGCTATTCGCTCAACGAATCCCTATAGTAAGCCAAACGGATTATTATTTTTTAAATTGTAATCGTAACTCATATACGAAATCTCTAGGCAGACTGGAATATGGTGTAACACAAGTTGAATAATTTATTTTTAATGAGATAAGAACACATTGTGTCAGACGCAGAGCCAAAAGACAGATAATTCAAACTGCTATTGAATCGGGAACAACCCAACTATACTTTAATTTGTATTTTTTATAGATTTCTTGAAAACCGAAACAAAGTATATTTATAGCGTGCAGGAAACTCGTCAAATGTGTGTGCATTATTCAAACCAGTTCATATTTTCTGTATATATATATATGTATATATAAGTACTGATCATTTTTGGGCTGTTAAAGCTAATATATATACGGGTATATGTATTTATACGTTATTAGCACATATTTAAATCTTGATAGCAACATTTAAATGCCCTTTTGTTATTTTAAGTCTGTTTTCTTTTTCAACGAATTTTAGAAACTATTCTCTTGGTTTTTTTGGCATCAGTTTGATTTCCTTAAGGACCCCAAAGTCATCGATAGAGTATACCATTTGACTTTTGAGCCAAAGGAAACGTTTTGAAACGAGTCATGGCGACTGATGCTTGGAGTGGAATCGGATTTCACAGGATTGTTTAATTGTGTGTCAAAGTTTTAATATTATAAAATCATCGGATTTTACTTGGACTTTAAAATCATTTTAGAAATGCATGGATATATGTAATGAATATGCAACTGCAATAACTTTAGAGGATTATATGTATATATATTTACTATATATACTGTATACATATGTATACGTGTATGTAGTTATGTAACGATATAATGTATATGGATTGAATAAGGAAAGAAAACACTTCCAAAAGAAGAACACACAAACTCAAACCAAAGGTAAAAAACATCGATAATATGATTTACTGTTACGTTTACATTTACATTTACATTTAAATTTGCATTTGCATTTACAAGAAGCATTACCATCGACTAGTTTCGGTAAACAAAATGGTCTTACCTAACAGAGGCACCGCGTCGGATGTGGCCGGCATTGTCTCGGCAACCATATTGAGAAACACGGTCAGCGAGAGCAGGATGGTAACACCTAGATATCGGATGAGGAAGACGATTAAGTGACGCATGCTCTTATTTCATATAGCACGGGTGTCTGGTGTGATATTTGATGTCGGACTTTTTCAATTATTTGTTCATTAACAGTCGGTCTTTGCTTTGGTGTCTGTCCGTTCCTTGTCACCTGGTAATCTACGGCCCTCTAAAGGTATTCCTGTATCCATTTTCCCTGTTTCCAACAGTAGATTTGCTCATACTTCTGGCTAATACAGCCAGAAGCTTTACTCTCACTTGTGTAACCCTCCCCTTGATCCAGAACACTGCCACTAGGTATCTTTAAGTAGTTTTAGGTACTTTCCGACACCCACTTGCTACCCATCTATTTCTGTTTTGAGCACTCAACTTTGGCTGAAGTAAAAGTCCTCAACTTTCGTCGAGTCCCTACTGATTTTCTGCCCCACTAATGCTCTGCCCCTGTCCCGACCAATCGACAGCACATTTGAGGCGAGTGCTTAACAGCCAGCCGGAACATTCCTTACGCCCGGCTCGTTGAACACTTTTTACTACTCAGCTCAGTCATAGCAACATTAAAAGTTCAATAGTTTGTTTGCCAACGCTGGCAAGGATCTGGGCTGGGTTCTGCTGGGACTAGGATTGGGACTGCGACTGCGACTGTGCCGTCATCGTCATCGTCATCTTCAGCGACATCAACAACAGGAAGGGGAGCGATGGCAATAGCGAGTAATGCGCCGTGTCAGTCAGTCAGTCGGCGGGTGAGTGGCTCGCTTCGGTTCTCAGTGGGCTCTCGTCGAGCGCTCATCAACAGCATTATGGAGGGCATCTAATTTTAAATTCGCCCGCGCTGCCGACGAGTCTGTCATTATTTAAAAAGTACTTGGCAAATACTTTTGAAGCGGCTCTCGAGCTGTTTGCATGTGTGGGCGGTCGCGGTTCCTCTTCTCCAGTACGTATATTCATAAGTATTTATGTTGCCTAAGTGGTTTCAAATTAATGTACCTCCTCCACTGTCCCAGTCCCCCCCCTAACTATAACACTAGAACTTACCCAGCGATAATTTTTCACCCGAATCCGGTGGCAGAGTGAATCCCAGCAGAGCCATTGAAGCAATCAGCACACAGGGTATAATCAGATTGAAGAAGTAGTAGAGCGTTCTTCGGCGGATGATGATGGCGAAGGTTATATCTATATACGGTTCCGGGCAGCAGTTGTAATAGATCTCGTTACGCTTGCCTGGAACACCTACGGTGGTTCAATTGTACAAAGGGCATTACTACAAGATATATTCGTGGTGGGAAGGCATCTCTGTTTCTTTGTTTCGTTTCCTACGAAACGTACGAGTATACGTATACGAGTATGTATCTGTGGCAGCTTTTACTTAGGACTTGATCTGAGCATTTGTTTCGAGCATTTCTTGGCATAATACAAGTTAAATAGAAGTACGAATACGATTATGATAGGAGAGTAAGCATTGGATAAGAGTTACGATAGCGTTCTTGGGCATAGAGCAGAGCAGAGCAAAGACTAGAGTTGCTGGTAAGTGTAATTAGATTAGAGGTAATCTTGCCATTTAAAGTTTAAAGTCTGTGTACATAATTTGCAATATTCTTTAAAATATACAAATGTATATGCGATATGTGGGCTATGACATGGCAAGGATTAGGGAGTGATACTCCAGTATGGAGGGTGGAATGTAAAATGAGAAATGTGTTGTGCATGCCGTGGAGTGGGAGTGGGAACGGGAGTGGGTGTAGTTGAGTGTAAACTTAGTTTCGGAAAGAGTTTTATTTGTCTAGGCAACTAATTGTAAGTAAAGTTAAGTAAGAGCAGAGCAGAGCAGAGCCGAGCAATTTACTATGGGGAAAAGTTTTTATGCACTTTGCTTCAAATGTAAATACGAGAAAAGTTATGTGGAGATGGGAAATTTCGTTGCGGGTTATATATGTATATAAGCGGAGAAAGTAAGTAGAGAGTAGAGTGGTGTAAACGGGGTTTGATTTCATGATTGTAAATCTTAAGTTTACTTTCGGGCTGTACCCTTTCAACGGTTGCTAGATGCTAATAGATACTCAATGTGTTGATTGGTATGATACAGAAACTAAAGCTCTCCTTGATCTTCCATGAACAACTGAGGTATTGAATGCGATAAAGTATGTACATAATTCCCCAAGCCAGAGTCGGGGAATAGGGTTTTTTGTGTCTAATAATTTATAAAGTCTTAGAAAATGTCTTGTCCCATTTTCTCTGATCGATTCTAAGGCACATTCATCCAGATATGCAGAGCCCTTTCTGATGGAATCTACAAGCTGTGAATTGCTGTTCTGCCCTCATCTTTTTGCAAACATATTCGCAGTAAAAACATTTGGCAGAAAGCCTGATCCATATGCCGTCTATGGCTGGCCCAATGCCTCAAACTTCAGACTAAATTATCTGCCCAACTTACTCCAAGATTACCAAAGGGATTACAAGAGCGGCGAGCAAATCGCCTTGGTCGAGTATTTAAAAATGACCCAGCTACCATTCTGCTTTGGGACCCGACCACAGTCCCTGCACCGCCCATATCGGGAGCACTTTTCCGACACAAAATAATTTGCATAAACTGGCTAGGGAAGGGCAAGGTAGAGGGAAATCGGCCGCAAGTGCGCACGGAAAACAATGGCGGAGAGGAAAGAGAGCCCGCGGAAAAACTTTGGGAAACTCCCGAAATATTACGCACAAAGTAAAAAACAAAAACCAAAACGAAATCAAGAAAAAAAACGGAAAGCAACTGAAATGAAAGGAGAGCACAATAAAAGCAGTCGACAAACGAAAATAAAATTTGTTGCACAAACTTTTCTTTTGCAGTTTTGTGGCTAGTGTGGAGCGGAAAACTTTTCGGCTATACGGAGTGTCTGTATTTGTGGTAGCGCTAATTTATAGTGCACATATACATATATACACATATATATATATACATACATATGTATATGTGTGTGTGTGTGTGTGTGTATGAGTGGGAGAAAATGCAGACGTATTTGTCCTTTAATTTCTTAATTGGTTCTGGTGCGTGGCTTCTGCAGAGGACTAAAGACCAAAGCTCTTTTTCATTTTCCCCACCGCCACCGCCCCCAGGGTAGCAGTTTTCGCTGACTGGGAAAACGCTTACGGATCGAGGGCGTGGCTAGACTTTCTGCCAGCTCAGCATTCTATGCGGAAAAGTGCAATTTAAACTCTGTCTGTGAGTGGTAGCGTGCTGGTGTGGGTGTGGGTGTGGGGGGTTCAGAGTTCGTATTTAATTTAAATTTCTTTCATTCTGTGCTTCTGTAATTTGTGTTTCTCTTGTGTTTCCAGAAAGTCCAGAAAGTTTATTTATTCGCTTTGCTATTTATAATTTATAAGCCTCACTGAATGAGGAGCAGAGTATTCAATTAGATGATTAGAGAGGGATAGAGTTAGGATAGGAGATGTATCCAGAAGCATAATTTCATCAAGGACCTATCGAACCCAGGTCATCTACAGTACATACTATATATGCAAACTTCAAAAGGTTTGGGTCTACGACTGTCTCTGTATCTGCAGATAGTTGGTTTGTATTTTGGTTACGAGTATATGTAAATACATTCTATTCAGCATTCATTCGTAATCGTTGTACATGCCGTTAGCTTCGATAAAGAAAACTATAAAATAGATTCCAGGATAAAATTTTCTAAGTGGAGTGCATACACGGGCCAGGCCTTACCTCTTGATTAATTTAATGGTAATGTTAATAGCTCCTAATAATTAGCACCTGCGATTGGAGTTGCATAGTTAGGCTGTTGTGTAACGGTCTAACCTTATGCCACACCAATCAGAGCTCTTACAAAGGGCAATCGAAACGTTTACGCGGCTATTTCGGACTTTAAAAGTTAATGCGCCCAAAGATAGTTTTGTGATAGTCTAATTAAAAACAGAGTTTTTGGTTTCTTTGATGTTTTGAAAGAGTAGAGTGAGTGGGAGAACACTGGATAAGCGTGTGGGTTTTTAGTGAAGTACGAAAGTAATAGAGTATAGAGTAATGTAGTACGGGGTTAACAGGTTTACAGGTTAACAGGGTTCATGAAGTGCCCTACTTCATTCCGTATTCATTGACCTCGAATGGGATGATGGGGACTGAGAAGTGTAAGAAATACGAGTATCGAAGCAGTGATATGATAATAAACGCTCTCATCTTTAGCTGATTGAAGGTGCCCGGCAGTGCTTTCCACTGCCCCAGCACTGGTTCAATCGGCTTCCGATGAGCAGACGCAGTCGGAGTTTCGAACGGAACGAGTTCGGAACTTTAGTTCGCAGCTTGAACCCTGCTTGCAGCTTTCAGACTTTTGTGAGAGAGAGTAAGTAAGATAGAAACAGAGAGAGAGAGAGTGAGTGAGAGAAAGTTACAAGTATAGTGTGTGTGTTTTTGTGTGCGCTTTGGGTACACAAAAGTAATCGGCCGCAAGACCGTCATCTCCTCTGGAGAGATGAGATGAGAAGAGAACTGTGGTTCGTTTTGCCAACAGACAGGCGGCAAGATGAACTTTCACACACGGAGATTGGGGAGAGAGTATATGAATTAATTTCTCAATTTGTATCTGTATCTGTATCTTTATCTGTATCTGTATCTGTATCTGAAGAACGTGAGTCACTCGCCAAAGAAGCAACGGCTGCTGAGAGTTTTGGAGGTTTGGATTGTGAATCTGGTTCTTATGTCGGATATGTAGAGGATGTCGCTTTCGCTCCGAACGACGTTGGCTTACTCACCCAGTAGTTCCCACTCGCCGTTGAGCACGTAACTGCTGATATCACCGCCAGTTTCATCTTGTAATTGTAAATCCAGCTTTTTATATATATGATATTCGGGGAGAGGGTAGAATAATATAAATATTTTCGCTCGCTTCAAACGAATACAGCAAAAAAAACGAAAAAGTACTGAGGAAATCAAAAGTTCTGTCGTAATTGAGTGTAATTTGTAATTAAGTAAGCAAAACAACTACGAGTCTTGTTAGTACTTCCTGGTTGCCCTGCTTGTGCATTGTTGGAGACTGAACCAAACCTGAAATCCATCATAGGTCCAGCTGCCGAACTTCATCTCGCAACGCTGATCGTCAAAGGGAAACCACGTGATATCTATCTTGCATGTCGACTTAAAGATTCCCGGCGGCACATACAGACACGACCCGTTGTTCCTCACCACGACATTAGTCTGGTAGGTGCCGTCGAATCCCTCGTCGGCGCTGTTGTACATCAGCACGTCCGGCTTCCAGATGCGATGCGGCGGTATGCGAAGATCCTTCACTCCCCCGTAGTCGGAGGTGTTCCAGCGGAGGTTCATGTCGTTCCACTCCAGTTTCAGCCACACATTCGTGACAAGCAATTGATTTTTCTCGTCCTGCAAAAAGGCATGCCAAACAGCAAGTTCATTACACACGTCGCTCGCAATCAAATATAATTAATTAACACACAAAATTGTATGAGTATGTATATATGTCCGAGTATGAACAAACTCTCATATAACTTTATTCAGCGGAAAGTTTGCACAGCCATTTTTTCATTTTTATAACGTATTTCCGGCCACAGCGGATGCGACCTGAGGTGGGAATTGGTCGGTTGCCCACTCATGCATGTAAAATGGCAAATGAAAGCTGGAACAACATCTGAGGTTGATTCGAACTGATTGGAAATTGTAGAAGCCGTAACAGCTGTCCAGATTGAAAAAAAATAAACTAGTTACTGTCTATAATTAAGAAAGTTTTCGCTGTTCAATTGTTAAAAGATTACCTAACATATTTTGGAGTATTTATTTTTTTTTTGTCTAATTTAATGCCAAAAATAATGTGGTAACCACAAAAAAATGTGACCCGCTCTTGTATTTTGGGACTTTGCGCCATACCTACCAACGAGAGCGGTACTCGCGGCTTTTTTTGGCTTGATAGGACTGAGACTCCTTATGAGAACAATATTTTCTAATATATATATAAATAACTAACTTCGAGCTGGCTTCGATCGTGCGGCAACCCCCGGCTCACTCGCTTCGCTTGCGCCGATATGAGTAAAACATCGGGACTACCACAGTGACGACCCAAAAACTTATTTATATGGGCTGTCACGGATGATTTAAGATACATTTCTTCTGGATTATTTAAGTATGCTGTTTTTATGTGTATCCATAAAACCCTGTTTCGTTATGTTTGCCATTATGTAACGATCTCTTTGCAAAGCTCCATCAAACAGTAGAGCCGTGAAAATGAAAAGCCTAAAAGCCTGACAAATTGTTCGCGAACTTTAATCCAGAGAGCTACATTTTTAAATGCAATCTAACCAACCTGCCGCCTGGGATGCGCCCCAATAACCAAATCCGCGCATTACAACAAAACCAGCAGCGGCAACAACAGGAGCAGGCCAACTGCTCTTAAAAAATTCACCAACTGCACACAAGGCGTTTGTGTAATTTACAATTAAATGCCTGAAATATTCATGGTCCACTCGGGCAACAACAACAGCAACGGAAAGCAACTCCAAAAAGCTGGCTAAAATGAAAATGAAATGAAAACAACTGCGAAAAACAAAATCTCTGGCGCTTAACCAACAAAGAGCGTCGAGAGCCGTAGGGACGAAACGAAACGGAGCGGAGCGGAGCGGAGTGAAATGGAACGGAGCAGAACAGAGAAGATTCGGGATGAGCACCAGCATCGCATTGCACAAATATTTTGGCCGAGCAATTTCCGTTAGTCAGTGTGCAAGTGCAATCACAAAATGGGCTCAAATGTGCGACAGAAATGCGGTAGAGATGAAATGGAGCCACCGATTGCTAGCTGCACGACCCACTGCAACTGCTCCAAGCACACACAGGGAACAGGACACAGGACACACACACTGACACAGGGCCGTAGCAGAGTCAATATGTTTTTTGGTGGATACCCGCACTGTGGAAGGGTGGGGGAGGGGGAAATCGAAGCAGCGGCAAATAGAACATTGTAAAGGAGGGACGTGGCAGGACTTGGTAATATTGTGGTCATAACGCAGTGCAAGAGCAAACACGGGACGTGTCTCTGTGCTGGGCTGGCTAAATATAGCCATTACATTATTGCACTTGACTGCAGCAGAGTCCATTTCAGCCAGCTGCCTCTGCTTCCCCCCCCCCCCCCCTCCGCCCCCTCGCCCACACTCACACACAGACTTATATTTTTCTGCGGTGCACTTTGCGACTGACACACACAAATACCGGACGACCAAAAGTATGCCATGGATTTGCTGCTCCTGCTCGTACTCCTGGAGGGCCGAGGGCCGAGGGCGGAGCACTGAGCGAGAGGGGACTAATAAAATTCCGTTTTTACAAATTGAGTTTTTGTTAACGCGCACTAATTTTGTCGGCTTACACGTGGAGTGCATTTTCGGGTGGTTTCCAGCACCGTAATTCATTTAGCGGGCCACGAAAACGAAATGAGTGCTTAGGTCTTCGGGTTTCGTTAGGCGAAAAAGCAGAATAATTCGCTTGCTGTAATCTACTTCCTGCTTTTTCATGTAGATTGATTTTAGATATAGTGTACGTTTTCCTTTCATCTTTAAGCCTGCGACGAAGAATCCACTCCCAATCAACTGGTGACTCTTCCTCTCTGCGGAACGGTACGATGGCTTCTCTTTACAATTTATCCTTAGTTAGGTAGGGCTCCTTTTTCGGTCACTCCCAGTCCCACTCCCACTCCCACTCTAGCCTGAATTGCAATTCCAATTTGCATTTTATATGCGAATGTTCACTTGCAGCAATACAAAAATGTTCCATACAATTATAATGGTGAAACCGCAAAAACTGTGCTAGCAAAAATGAACAAAATTTAATTAAAATGAAAAATAAAAATGCACGAGACCTGGGGCAGGATAAAACGAATTAATCATACTCTAATGTATTCATAAAGGTCTGATCCCAAATTTAAATTACTATAATATTTGAAAGTTAGCCCTTAAATATCTTATTAGATTGGTTTAATAAACAAAAATGGTTTGCTGCTGACTATCGTTTAACATAAACGCAAAAATGGTTAAAATGCACTTAAAAATCAAATTTACAACAAATTATTCTAATTTTAAATATTCTAATTTTAATTTAAATATTTTAAAATACATCTTTATGTATTGTTATTAAACAATGGACAATCTTAAAGGTGTTGTCCATTTTGTATCAAAGTTTCCAAAAAGCGTGATATAATCGTGGTGTACATATGCACATACATACATGCACATATTCTCAGGAAAAATAGCTTTTAGACTAATATTCGAGGAAAATTAGCACTAAAATTACTAAGAAAACTAGTACTAATTACTAGAAAGGTGTGTAAGGATTAGTAATTTAATAAGAGGAAGAGAATTAGTGGTGATGTATGTAGATGTAAGATGCGCAAACGTCTAGCAAATCAGTGATGCCTCTAGAGGAAGTACATAATTATGACATGAGCCGGAGCAGACGGGGGCCGGAGGGACGAATGCACACGGAAGTAGGAAAAAGGTGGCTCCTTTTTGTGGCGGTCGCTGCATAACTGTCTAGCTGTCTTCCTGTTGCAGCCTGCAGCGTGCTCCTGCAGGCCAAGTCAGGAGATGAATGGCCTGGAGGGAGAGGCGTGGTTGCTTGCTGCCTTTGGTTTTTTTCTTAGAGGAACATAACGAAGCTTATTCGCATTCAAGTTGTGCATGAGTATTTGTCCATATGTATGTGTCTGACGGTCTGTGCATGAGTATCTGTGTCTGTGGTAAAGGAGAAGTATAAATAAATGGCAGCTATGAGCGGCAGTTGTTGAATTTTAAATGAGCAGAAAAAGCAAACGGCAGAATTTTTATTTTTGGCGCTGCTCCGTGCTGCATTCGACCAGGCCAAAGACAAGTTTCGGCACGCGGATATTTTCATGCATACCAACAGAGGAGAGGCGTTCATACGAGCATGTGTATGTGTGGTACGTAAACACGCACAGGCAGGCACAGAGAGAGACACAGATCCAGATACAGAGCCATAGGCAGAGGCAGAGGCAGAGTCAGTTCATTGACATGGGAAGCCACAACAACAGCAGCAGAGTTCGGGGAATTCAAAAAAGCAACTCCAAACAGAACGAGTCGGAGCGGCAATGTTGGACTAGCTTCGACTATAAGATACCCGTTACTCGGGAAAGATATAGGCAGCCCTCATACGAATATACCCAATAGAATTATGATTATGATTACTCTGGCTGTGCCAACAGTTTTTGTCTCTATACTTTTCATGGTCTCCGAGATTCTAAAACGGGCAGGAATTTGATTCACCGTGAAACTCTACGAGTACCGGCTATATAAAACTGAACTCATTCCCCACGCAAAACTCGCACACTCCGCACAGACCCACCACACATACATAAACACACATGCAGTGATACACAGACGCAGACAGAGGCCTAGTTTCTCATTGTCCTGTGTGCATTAAAAATGGCTGCCCCAGCTCGACTTCATTACTCATTTTCCGCTGATATCCGTTGATATCCAGCCCCCTCTCGGCCTGCATCTACTTAATCACTTCCCCACGGCTGAGCCCCAACCCACCCAGCCCCCAACCGCATCCTTCGGTTGCTCCATGCTCCTTGCTCCTAGCGTCTTGGCCCTTATCTGTATCTGGGCCGGTTTCCTTGTTGTGCCGCTTCTTTTGCCGGCTCGGCTCCCATTGACGCCAATTAATCTACGCCTCGCTTTGTCTGCGCCTTTTTAATTAATGCGCCCGGGAGTTGTTTTATTTGTACTCTTACTTTCCCCGACCCGACCCGAGGCTCTCGGAAGCTTCCCTCTCTAGGGGTTTCTTCAGCAGAGGTCACGAAGGGAAACTTCCGTGCTTCTTTCTGCTGCTCTATCCTCTCTTTGTTTTCCATTGCTTTCCTCCTCTTTGCTTTCACATTTTTTCAACATGGCTTTCGATTATTCCCATTTCATTTGTCATTCTGCCTGATTACAGAGAAGGCCATAGGTATGCTCATTCGGTTTCTACGATGAAGAAGATTTTCGTACCCAGCAAATCGATTTCGAAGCCAGAGCCTGCAACTGGATCCAATCTATCCAATCTATAAAAATTGTACGGCGACTCTCCTTAAAGTTGGTTTATTTGTTAAGCAACTGAATATCAGTACAAACGCTTATCTAAATGTTTTTTAATTTTTATCATCGATCAGCATCGATCCTCTTACTACCAATCGAGAGATTCTCCTTCTCTCCTTGCAAACAGATAAAGCATATGTTCATTTTATCCTTGGGGAAAATAAATTTCATTTTAGGGTAAGTAACATTCTTTACTATCACTCCTTCTTCGGGTTCTTTATGGCATTTGTGCAATTGTATACTTACGAAATATTCGTATTGACTCGCAGAGAGCTTTCCCTTTGAACCCCTTAAGTGGCCCGATCATTGTGCTCATTATTTCCATCTTTGTGCGCCATTCAATATGCATTCCACTCCATGGAGTATGGAGTCTGGAGTATACTTCAGTGTGGGGATTGCATTCAGTCGGCGCATTTAATAAAAAAAAAAACACTTTTATATTCATTCCTTCCGCTTCGCTGGCAGACCAGGAATTAATTGAAACTGAGTGCAAGAAGTTATTTTGCTTTCGGGGCCGTGCGTGCCTTGCTCGCACTCGCAAAGTGCAATTAAGCTGGCGTGTGGGCGTGTCTGTTTGCACATTTTAAAGGCTGCTCGGCTCGGCTCATCGACGCCCCCCAGCACGGCAACAGACTTTTCGGCGAAGTTGGCTTTTCCATCACGTCAACATGTGTTTATGAGCATGAATGGCAAACATTTGAAACTCCATTATCAAAATGATAGCTGACGGCAAATATTTACAAGGCATTACCCCGAGACCACGACCACATCTACTCGCACCCGAGTATATGCAGTTTACATATGTATATCCTTCGAATACATAAGCCCAATCGCACACTTTTGACCAAACGAAGGGAACGTGTGTCTGCATCGGTATCGGAGCACTCAGGGCTCGCATCAAGTTAATTAATTTCGATTTTACGTTATTATACGTTCTAAGCTTGCATTTAGTTTGCAGGCAACCCCATCAATTTATATTTGGCATGAATTCAGTCTAAAGCTATTACGGAGAGCCATTCAAGAAATAATTAGGCACTTTCATAGAAACATAGAGGGAAAACATGGAGAAATTTAGTTTCAAGTTTGAAGAAATCCACTCATAATAAAAACTTTAGCATTAATCAATTGATGAAGCTGTCAAATTAATATCCAAAGAAAATTGAATTTGAATTGAGGAACATTCTTCCTTTAATTAAGCAGACGCATTTTCCCGTTAATCAGAACTCCATCCAAGGTACAGTGTTAGTCATTAGTGGGTCAAAGTGCTGCTCTACCACAAGCCGACCACAAGCCAGCGAGCAATCCACTGGATTGGACAGGAAAAGCTTCCGGCCTGCCCTCCTTTGCATATGTGAGTGTGTACTCATTTGACAAAGTTCTATCCACAGAGCGGGAAGAGGAGAGACACTCTCGTCGAGTCATTTGAACATGCAACAACATCAATCAAAGGGAAAGTTTGTGAAGCTTTCCCCAGTTCTCATTCCCCATTCCCCGTTTCCCACCCAACGACAGACCACAGCCGAAAATGCATTGAAATCGTTGAAAAGTATGCCATGCATGACCATAACCATCTCCTCCGCGTGTGGGGGTGCGGCACGTGAGTGTGCGAGTGAGTCCTGTTTGTGCTGACAAAATGCATGCAGCCGCAGGTAGCATTGATGGCTCCGCCAACAGAAATAGAAAATAGCAGCTAAAGCAGAGTGCAACATGATTGCATTCTAATCTCGGTGCCAGGCGTGGCACATACCCATACCCGTAACAAAGAGCCCAACCAGACCCGTCACACCATATAAGTTTCAAACATATTCAACTGCAATTTCCACACTCTGGAATAGAAGTACTCGTGTAAGCAAAAGGAGTCCTTTTCACAGTTGACCTCCTCTGGGAGCAATTATGAAGAAGGCTCTATGTAAATCACATGCGATAAAAGTGCATTTCAGATGCCAAGTTTAGATTAAGATGAGCCTGCTATTGTTGCTCGAGTCCATGATTTAACAGCTTCCCTCCTAGTCGCCAGATTCATTTGGCAACATGACAGATAACCGTAATGGAGGAGAAGGTCCTCTCAATTCGCTGCAGGTGGAGCTGGGGCTGACGAAGAAGTTGACGTTGACGTTGGTAGATAAGTAAAATTGATGAAAGCCGAAGGGCTCTCCATCCTCTGCTCGGTGTGCGTGTCCTGCGCCATTTTAAATTGAATTGAAGCTGAATTGAATCCTGCTGCCGGACTCGGGGGCGGACTAGGAATGGGAATGGACTGTCATGGCAGGTGCCAAATCTTTAAATTGCTTGGGGACCCAGCTGCTGCTGCGGCAGGTCACAAAAAATATGCAAATGCAGCTGCAGCCCCTGCATTTAACAGCTAAAATATTGCCAGTGTCAAAGGCTTCGATTTCCCAAAGGAAAACTAATGGCATTAGTAACCTGCAACTGACTGCGCCACGCTGCCAAGTGCGCTAAGCGGCGGCCTAAAGAAATCGCTCTTTTCTGCCCTATTATCCTTGAACGGGCAGACGCAGACTTGGCAGAGGGTGGAGTTCTCACCATTTATTATCGCGACTCTCACATTGTCGCGCCATATGCAGCTAATTTCGCTCGATAACGAGCTCCCGTCAGGCATTAGCAACATTTGATTGCCACGACATCTAAGCCCGCGAGTTATACAGTCGAATAAAAATTTGAGTATGTCCCAGCTCACTGCGGTTCCCATAAACCGCGTTTCTTGCGTCGAAAGGTGATAACTGCTACCCAATGCCCACTTCCTCCCCAACTTGCTCCCCAAATGACCCGATTCTGGTTTTTATGCTCCCCCTGTTCCCAGTTTCCAGATCCCAGTTCCCAGTTCCCAGTTCCCAGTCCCAGTGTTTCATGTAATTGCGACTGCGCTTTAAGTGTGCGTGCTGCAGTTTTACTGCCACCAGCAGTGGCAACAACAAACGACAGTGGCGATGGCGGTGGCGGTGGCGCTGGCGGTGGCGCAGGCACTGGCGACGCATTGTGCCCGTTTGTTCTTTCAACTTCATTTTGCAGCAGCAACAGCGCCAGTCGTACTTCATTGCTTTACCCACACCCTGCCCCACGACTCTGCCAAACGAGTCCCCACCCCAGCCCTCTGGTTTATATGTTTTGGCAGAAGGTGTGAACAACACATGTGCAAATTTTATTTATTCATTTTATTTGCATGCCAAGTGTGTGCGAGTGTGCTGGGCTCAGAGTATTGTAAATGCACTGAAAGAAATCAGAGGATACTCGTGCTCGTGTTCTTCCAAAACATAACTTGTCGTTTTATTAAATCAGAAAAACACCCGTATTTCAGAATCTATCGGAGCAAAAAGTCAAATTGTACTCGGAGGAAGTTGGTCATGTTAATACCTCATTTGTTAATTGGGACAGAAAAATTATGTCAAACATAAATTTACTTAAAGCAATTTACTAAAAGCAACACCAAACACTTGCAAGTAATATTCGAATTTAGTGCTGTGTATAAACAGTCACAGAATAGTCCTTAAACATGGATTAGAGGCTCAGTGACCGCTGCGAAGTATCCTGTTTTCTCTCAGCGTACTCGCAAATGCTCTTTCGCTGTTTGCATTTGTTGTGTGACTTTTAGCGCGTCACTGAATGCGCAGTGTTCTAGCGTCTGGGATCGTTTTCATTTTTATTTCATTCCCGCTGCTTTTTTTACTTCTGCTACGTATGCCAGAAGCAGTCGTTCAGCTTTCAGCTGGTTGCTGTGTTTCTTTTCATGCCTCATATGAGTGGGTGTGAGTGGGTGTGAGTGGGAGTGAGAGTCTTTTGTTTGTGCGCTCCATTTCGCTGGATCCAAACTTTGTGCGGACTCGCAGGCCCTGGCAGAGGCAGAGCCAAACAAACAACTCTCACTCAGATACACACCATCCAACATCCAAATGCAATGCAGATCTAATATGAATTGAGGTTGTCTCGCTAACAAAGGCAAACGCCTCGCTTGGACTTTTCTAACAGTGTTCACCTTTTTCCCTCCCACCCATTGCCTACTCTCTTTCTCTCCCGGAGTTGTCCGTTTTCCACCGCTCTCTTGTTGGCCTCTCCGCAATTGTGAGTTGCAGAAAAGTTTTTTCAACTGATGAATGCAGGCGGCGGCGGCCACCCCCTTAAAGGTGAGAATGAGTCAAACACCGCACGTGCCACATGACGTTGCATGTAATTTTCTCGACAGTGCCAGTCAGGCAGGATATGTATGTCCTGTTTGTATATAGGCCAGAGGTGCTGCGGAAAGAAACGCCAGCTGCCATTCAAGGAACAGCCAACAGACAGGACACAGGTGCAAGCGTATATGCAGGCGCAGGTGCAGGTGCATGTGGCAATGTGTGGCTGTGTGGCAGTGTGTGCCTGTGGGTGGTGTGGGTTTCTCTCGGGCAAATAATTAAAATTTCACTTTCTTGGCAATTCACTTTTTATACAAAAAGAAATTGTGTCATCAGGGATTCTGTTTTGTGAAAACTTGGTGCATACTTTAAGGCGTATTCTTAAAAAGCGGGTACACACTGAAACTGAGAGTGGAAATTAAGTCCTAAAATGCATTGAGTAATTTAAACGTCCTGCTGCTATACTGTAGCAATTCCTCTGGATATTTGTACTTTGGATGGGAACATATACGAGTTATGTACACAGTCCTTCCCGTTCCGAGTTAAAGTTTTTAAAGAATAATTATTTCTTACTCAATTCAATCATATAACTTTGTGCAGACAACACTGAATGATACCATCTTGACAGGTCTTGTGTACCCTAAGGTTTCACAGAACGAACCGAATATTGTTAGCGTTCAGACGAGTTTCAAATAATGATGCCACAGCATATTGCCGGGGCAGATAACTAGTACTTGGTGCAGTTTCCCTTCGGAATTATATTTATGAATGAGTTAGTTATACTCGAACAAACATTTAAAACATGTTATAGACATAGACAATTATATTTGCTACTTACCACATCAATAATTTGCATTAAAGTTAAACCAAAGCTTAATTGTAACGGGTCCGATTCATTGAGAACGGGACGTTCTAGTGTATTATAAGGATCCAAAAGATCATGTAACAGTCTCTTTTCATGATATCCTGCTAGGCAAACTGCAAGTAAATAAAGTAGGAATTAGTATATGAAACTTTTCAGGACAAGGAAAAAGGATCACTGCAAATGTTTGCCATTTCATAGAAGCGCCGCAAATCAACATCAATAATTCATGTGGGGGAGGCCACGGCAGGGCAGGAGTTGCAGAAACTAAATTTATTGATATGCGAAAGTTTACGAGTTCTTGGTTTTTGCAACTTGTTCCTTGGTCTGGATCCATGGTCTTGGATCGCTTGACGTCTGTGTCTCGGACCTGTTCATGGTTCTGGTATTGGTCCTGGGCTTGAGTGTGGATTCTGGTCTTGTGTGTGCATGCGGGTTGCGCATTCGGCGTTGAATTGGAAAGGCAACAGTAGAACCAGAATTCTGAAAGGATGGCAGAAAGTTTGCGTTTCGGTTGTCCTTTTTGCCAGCAGACATACATATGTAAGATGTCCTTCTCTCTCCCTTTGCCAGGTCATGTCCCTGTCCCCTATTTTTCTCTCTATGTGACTCTATTGTTCTCTGGCAGTCGCATAACAAAAGGAAACTTTTATTGAGCAAAAGTTTTTCACATACAAATTTTCTTGGAGCGTTTTTCCCTGGCGATAATAGATTGCCTCACACAGATACGCACATAGAGGAATCCATATACACATATATTCATATGTATGTACATATATGCACAATTGTAGGAGTAGAGAAAGACATATTCGCATCGTTATCGGAGAATTATTTATGCATGAATGTGGACTACAGAAGAAACTACAACGCCAACTACAACAACAAATGAAAGTAGATGAGAAGAAGGAGCAAACTTGCTTGCTTGCTTGCTCTTTGCCTCTCAATTTAATAATTTCTTAAGGGTGCTCCCCATCACCACCAATGCTGCCATCCTGCCACCTCCCTTTCAGCCCACACAATAAGCAGACACTAAGTAGCTATAAGTTCGAGGATTTATTGAACTGAGCGATTGGGAATGCACGAATGCAGTTCATGTGAAAATAGCTTCCGATGGGAAAATAGTCTCGGACAATTGCAATTGTGGAAGTTCTTGAAAATTGAATTCATCGCAGATTGATTTACTCTCCTGCATAGAACATTTCATTAAACTGAAGTGAGGTTTAATTCAATTCCAGCTTTTGGTGGGGTGCTCTTGTCTTCCAGGGGCTTCCTTTCTGCTGACAGCAAAGTTTCTGTTTTACATGGAAAACTTTTCCCCTTTTTTTAGAAGCTTACCTCGCTTAACCCAAAAGATTTGCATACAAAATGAGCAGCATTTAAGAATTATGCACATGAATTTTTTAGTTTTAATTTGTCTTTAGTCTTTTCTCTCTCTCTCTCTCTCTCTCTCCCCCTCAGCCTGCTGCTTCTGTTACTGCTTGCCTACTTTCTTCTACGTTTTTGCATATTTCATTCGCTTTTCACGCTCTCTTCCTTGTTCATTTAATATTAAAACAAAATGACGAGCCTGCAGGCAAAAGGAAAAGTAGAGAAAAACTGCAGCTAACGAGCACGGGCCAACAATGAGGTAGGGGGAGGGGCAGCGGCAGCGGCAGGGACAGGGGCAGGGCACCTAACTGGGCCTTTAAGGCAAAGCATTGACACCAACGCATAGCGAAAGGAAAAATGAATGAGATGCGAGCACAAAGCAACAGGAGTGCAACGGAGGACCCAGAAAGAGACAAAAAAACAGAACACACACAAAAAAACAGGGCAACGTCTGATGAAGTGTCAAAATGAATGTGATAATAAAACAAATATGAGGATGAGCGAGACAACAGAGAAAGCGGGGAAAGCGGGGAAAGCGAGGAAAGCGAGGAAGGCGAGGAAGGCGAGGAAGGCGGGGAAGATACGGATAGAGAATCAGGAGCTCTGGGGCACTTTCATTGTAGCTGAGCACAAAGGACACTTTTGCCGACTTTTGGTTGCGTCAGCCCAAGACGAGACTTTTGTTTCAATATTTCTTTGTTGTGTGCACCATCGAAAACCATAAAAAAAAATCTAGATACATCCCATGGACCATCCAAAAGCAAACGGACTAACTTTTTCGTACTGCCACAGTTTTCAGGAAATTTCGTTGATAAATAAACATACCGAAGTCACCCGAAAATGGTCCCTTAAAGTGTGCCTCCTTGCCGACTCCTCCGAAGGACGCTCGTTAATGGCTCACATGGACAATGTCGGGAGTCATTAACTTTCCATTTTTGTGGCCATCATCTTCAACTTGGCCTCCACCTCAACCTATCATTCTCGCTTCTCTCTGTCTCTCTATCTACCTCCCTCCGTTTCGGGGTAGACTTCTGACATTTCGAAATGCCTTTTCAATGGCTGCACTTCCGTTTCGTTATTTTTCTTCGCTTTTTTACCGTTACCGTTGCCGTTGCCGCTGCCGCTGCCGCTGCCGCTGGTGGTGCTGCTGCTGTTGTTGTCGGCAGGCCGCATAAAATTGCAATTTTATTGCAGTGGAGCATGAAAAAGTAATTGCTATTTCACAAAGCCAAGTCAAGTCCTGGGCCAGACAGAGACAGCCGCAGGGACGACAGAGAGAAACAGCTAGTGGGAAGCACGGCAACAGCTGAAGCTTTGGACGCCGACGTCGACGCGGACTATGCCAAAGCCACCGCATGGCATGGGGTGGCGTGAAATTTAATGTTCAAAATAAAAACCGACCAAAATTGGTTAGAAAATGCAGCTGCCCGAATACACACGCAGAGCAACAGCAACGTCAGCAACGAAAATAGCAATAACAAGGACCTGAAATTGGCCGACTTCTCCACGAAACGAAGAAAAGTTCAAATTGCCGAAAGAGAGAAATAAGTAGTGTGTTATTTCTTGGCTTCGTAGATATCAGAAATGCTGATACTCTCTAATTCGGACTTCAACTTAGGGATAACCGACATATTACAGCGCATTGAACCCCATCTTTATAGCATAAGGATTGTTATTCTTCCTAATCGTGAATAACTTGTGGTATATGTACATATTTTTAGCATAAGCAGCTGTCTATGCAAAGTTTATATTTGGAATCGCTAAAGAGTGAGTTTTATTCCAAATCGAATTGAGCAAAAAGAACACCGTTAGGTGTTAACCTGCCAAGAAATTTCTTAAGTTATAGATAATCTTTGTATAAGAGCAAACTGAAAAATTACACACTCTGTACAAAACTATTTCCTAAAAATTTGTATGAGAGTTTTTTACGTTTTCAAAAGGCATACACTCTCTTTTGAACGACCACAACATCGAATGGCAACCAAACGAACGTATAGGCATCCCTTCGCCCATTTCCCTTCTCTACTCTACTCTATATCAGTATTCTCCTCATACGCCATATCCGAAGCATACCACGCGAGAGTAGGCATACGAGTATATACCTACTGGAGAAATATTTCGGCTCGGGCTGGCCGCCGATATTAAAAATTGAAACCAAAACGGAAACTGACGCGGCGCCAAACCACTTAAGCCCGCAAAAGCCAATACAAAATGATGCTCGGAGAAAAGCAGCCAAAGAAATAAAGAGATGGGGAAAAATATGAAGCCTGACGGCTGTCTGCCCTGACTTTTATTCCTGCTGGAACCCACTTTTGTTGGGGCGCCGCACCTGCTAATGGCCGTAGAGGGAGTATAGAGCACGAGACAGAGGGCACGGACCAGAAACCGGAGAAGCGAACATTTTAATAGCTCCAGGTGACGCCTAACCATTCAAAGCTTAAATTATGCAATAAAAATTCCAACAACAACAAGGGAAACGGGTTACTGCTCTAACCCTCCCCCACAAATCTCTCGCTCTACAGCATTCCATCCTATACATCCCCATAACCCACACCCGTACCGGTATAGCTGCCCTTAATTGGATGGGGTCTGGCTGCTGGGAAAGCATTTAATTGCTTATGACTTTCTTGTTTTCCTCTTTCCTCTTTCCAGTTTTTCTTTTTTTATTTTGCTATAGGGATGAAGAAGATGGAGTATAACCTGAGACAAGAGTAGGCTTAAAAAATGAAACAAATCGATGAAGAGATGGACGGATAGGAGAGTGGATACTTCTCACATAGAGAAGCTTTCCAACAGGCCCTGGCATTGCCGGCAACTCCGGCAGAGCCATCAATCAAAATTCCTTGTGTCCACTATTGAAAATTATGAATGCTATCGTATTTGATGATTGATTTTAGTCCAGGCAACATTCCTCCCCTTTATCATCCCACCCCTGATCCGGATCCTTTGTAATGCGTTTGAGGTGGAGTGGGGATGGGCTGGGGGATTATTTGTATTTGGATGATGGGCCCATCATCTGTCTCACGCTCGGGCTCGTGTGGCCGAGTGCGTGTGCTCCATAATGCAAATGGCAGGCATGACATTGTGTTTTTCTTTCTTGTACAACCCTTTAGCTAATGATGGAAGGGAACTTGTGACATTTATCGTATGCGAGCCGACATGTCTGGATATATAGATTGATAGATCTGAGGGGGAGTTGACATTTGCGAAAGTTTTTCAATAATCCATGAGAATATCTCACGGAGTGGGTTCGTCGTAGGCTTTTCCTAGTCCTCGATAGAGGCACTGAGGGCCGCTGCAAACATATAAATATAAATCGCCTGAAGTGGGTGTGGACTCTTTGTCTATTTTCGTTGAGCACACAACCTGAAAATACGACTTTTTACCTTTAACGTATGAGTACGTTTGGGATTATTAATATTTTCTTTTTATAAACTGACTACTTTCGCCGACTTCATCATGCCCTTGTTCGTTATCGAAACAGAAATAAAATCAACTTAGTCATCTCCCGTTGATGGGATGGCATCGTATGGCATGGGGCCAAGGAGTGGGGCCGAAACCCTGTCAAATACGCAAAAGTCTTGAATTCTTGAAGCATGCCAAAAGCCTTTCCGTAGCAATAAATGTCATACTTACAAAACATGACCAGAGAGCAAAAAAGGGAATCAGAGAGGGAGAGAGCGGGGGAAACAAGGGAATGCAGAGGGGCACTTGGCTGGCCAACCGGGCGTATGAACGATGTCATAGGACCAAGCGCATACTCAACACACTCATGAATACAAGTACACTAAAAACCACACGGATACGGTACGGACACACAGTCACACATGCTGCTGGTGTAAGCAACGTTGACGTTGTTCAAAGTTTAAATCTGATTAGCGATGGCAGCCATGGGGGGAGAGAGGGAAAAGCAGACTGTACAATATTGCCAGGGCGGAAACGGAAGTGCTGCCATAAAATCATAAACATGCACACGCATTCGGACCGACGGCAATTGTTGTTGAAACTTCTGTTGCTTTTGCTGTTGCTGTGGCTGTGGCTGTTAGTGCTGCATGAAACATGAACTCAAAGCCAAAGCGACAGACAGCCAAAGGAGGGGGAATGAAACGACTTCGACTGTAAAGACAAAGACGTTGCCAGACCGCACACAAAGACCCCACATGCATTCAGCACAGTGGTTCAAAAAATACTTTCTGATAGAAAAACTTTGGCCGCTAAGGAGAGCAAAACGAAATGTATTTGAAAACCTAACAGAACGTCTCTCTGAATAGGGTAAATCACATGTCGCTGTCACTGGAGTCACTGTGGCCAGTATGCGTTTATGATTTCATAGCTTGGCACGCAAGCCGTGACACGCACAAGCGGCTATTTGGTGCCAGCCTTTGTGCCAAGCAGGCGCTGAAACATTGGCAACACTTTCAATCTCGTTCTCTCTCCCCCAGTCATATGGGCAGCCATTAATAACCTCAATATGTGTAAGTGGCAGTCACTCTTCTCACAACTCTCTCTAGCCTCGGCAGGTGCTGGTTTCTCTAATGGCATGGCAGACATTCGTGCCGGTAGCCAAACTTGGTCCTTGTCTTGCTTAAAGTATTGTTGCCGTGACAAAGAATTTGTAAGCTCCTGGAGCAGGGAAAAACACGAAACCATTGAAAAGATTTTCCAAGCCACACACATGCATGCACGGAGCGGTGCACTGCAGATACTTGAGATGGGAAATTTCTGGGGAGCAAATGCCTGCTGGAAGTATTTATGGCATGGCAACATTTACCCCAGCCACACATTGTGGAATATGGCTTTGCTCGGTTATCAAAAATAGTTTTGGCTTGAAAATGTAGGTCGACTAACAATAGAAATTTTATTCAATTAGCCAGGAAATGACATGGATGGCAATTTAAGGCTTTATGTTGCTAGTTTTACATTTTAAGTGGTAGGCGTTGGCGTCAATGAGAGTTTACTTTTTCATAAACCATTTATGCAAACCCATTTGCTCAACACGGTCTTTGAAGCATTTCAAATACGGACCGCCACGCGGTAACCCCGAACAAGGACTTCAAAAGTGGGGGAGACAAAAAAGCGACAACATCCTAAGGCACAGACGACGCTTCAATGCTTTCAAGTGGCATAGACTGGTCTGAGATGGCTGTTGTTGCTTCACTTGAGGCTGTCGTAAATGTCACAACTAACAAGCAACAATGGCATCAACAAGAGGAACGACAACGACAACGACAGCGACAACAGCTTCGTAGGCCCGCAAAATATCCCACATCCCACTCATGAGTGGTTTTATGTGTCAAAGTGACAATATGTTGCCGGCGTGCATTATGGGCCTGCCTCTGTTGCTCTTGCTGCCAAACAATGACGACGTTAATGACTTGTGAGGCAACTGTTGCTTGCCACTGCAGGCGGGTGAACGGGTGGGTATGTTGCTGTTGCATGCCACTCACTTAAGTGCTAGCACTTGTTGTAAATTGAATAGGTTTTTCCAGTGCACTCACCTTTAGCAGATAAATTCAAGTATATCAATAAAAATATCCATGAGTGTTTATTAAGTCCGTTAATTATTTGCGTGCTGCTGCTGTGGCTGTGGCTGCTGCTACTGCTGCTGCTGGTGCTGGTGCTTTGGTTGCTGCCCTGTCTGCCTCTTCTTCTCAACAGTGGTGCAATCCTGCTTAAGTAGGAAATGATGGCGGTGGTGCTGGTCACGATCCCTCTGAGCAGGACTTCTGCTCTCTGTTGCAGCGACATGAGCCACACTTGCAGCAGGCAGCTGAATGTTGCTGGCGAGAAGTCCTGTATTATTGATGGATTGTTGCTGCTTCGGTACTGCATATAGGTCTCTGTCGGCCATAGATTGTTGCTAATATTGATATTGCTAGATGTTTCTACTATTTCTGTTTCGAATTCCGTTGCAACTGCTGCTGCTGACGCTGCTGCTGCTGTTTCTGGTTTTCTTTTTCGTCGCCGACGCATCCTTTGTCGCTTGCGTGCGCACAGTCTTATGTTTGTCTGTTGTTGGGTTGTTGCATGATTGCCGCTAGAAACAGTTTCTTTTGTTGATGCTCCTGATGCTGCTGCCACTGCTGGCGCTGCAGCTGCTGCCTGTGGCGACAACATGTTGCTGCCTAGCGACTGTTGCTGTCCATTGTTGCTCGCGTTGCAGGCTACATTTTGCTGCTGCCGTGCTGCTGCTCGCGTCTGCTGCTCTGCAATATTGCTGTAGTGTTTTGTACTTAAGCTCCTTAGTTGCAGTTGGGAAAGTTGCTGGTTGTTCTTGCTGCTTCTGCTGATGCTGCTACTGCTACTGCTGCTGCTGGTGCTGCTGGTGCTGCTGCTGCTGCTGCTGCACTGTGCTAATCTAACTGCCAGCCACAGCTCGTCATCGTCAACGTCACTCAGCTTCAGTTGTGCATTTTTCATAGTCTCTCTCGTGTTGGTTGTTGCCAGCGGATATGTGTCTGCCTTCCACTGCCTTCTGCTAGATTGTAATAATTTAATTTTAGGATTTTTCTGCCTTATCCAGCTGCTGCAGCTTACATTTTCCCCGACTTTGTTCGCTTTGGTTGTCCTTAACACTACCTAATACTATGAGATTTTCAACGTTTCACTTTTATCAATATGGCGAGTATGCGTTTTATTGTTTGCCATCCACTGCAATTTTATTACGGCTCTCCTTTTGTTTGCTCGTTTCCTTTACAACCCTAAGAGCGTTTTCTTTGCTTTTCTTTTCTTTTGTTTGCCTATAATAAAAGTTTACACTTCAGCTTCGGTTTTCGTGCTTTTGCTTTTGCTTGTGCTTCTGCTTTTCCTTTGGCTGGAAAAGTGGTAGACAGAGAGTCTTGTTTATTATTATTTCATATCTGTTCGTGTTTTTTGTGAATTTTTCTAAAAACAAGTTCCTAATTTGTTGCTGTTTCCGTTTCTATTCTTCCAATGTTACTTTTTCCGTCTCATTTGTCTGTAGTCTCTGATTTTGTAAAATTTCCTCTCCTTTATTTGCTTCTTATTCTACAGTTGTGTATGTCCTTAGTTATAAATGACGAGCGATTCAAATGGTAGTCCTCGCCGTGCAATCACTTGCAGTTGTATTTGTATTTGTATATGGCAGTGCTTCGTAGCATTTGGTTTACTGCTTTTATTCCTCTGTTGCTCCTCTGTGCTGTGTCCCAAAATTTGTGGCTGCAACGAGCAAAAGATGAAAGGTGAAATGTTAAAACCATTGCTTCTTCAGGAAATGTTTCTATATATTCATTTATAATCAAAAGCAATTCAGCATAGGTTCTTATTATTTATTGTGTTATTTTAAATTGAACCCTGTTGATATACCCATCGATATCTTTATTATCTTTTCTTAGTGTGCCAGAAGTGATTATCTGCTACCGAAATGTCTCTTAACTCAAGTCACATCCCTAGTTATTAGTTACTCCTTCCTTTTTATACCCGATACTCAAAATGAGTATTGGGGTATATTAGATTTGTGGTAAAAGTGGATGTGTGTAACGTCCAGAAGGAATCGTTTCCGACCCTATAAAGTATATATATTCTTGATCAGCATCAATAGCCGAGTCGATTGAGCCCTGTCTGTCTGTCCGTCCATCCGTCTGTCCGTCTGTCCGTCCCCTTCAGCGCCTAATGCTCAAAGACTATAAGAGCTAGAGCAACGATGTTTTGGATCCAGACTTCTGTGATATGTCACTGCTACAAAAATATTTCAAAACTTTGCCCCGCCCACTTCCGCCCCCACAAAGGGCGAAAATCTGTGGCATCCACAATTTTAAAGATACGAGAAAACCAAAAACGCAGAATCGTAGAGAATGACCATATCCTTTAGACTGCGGAATCTGAATTGGATCGTCTCATTATTATAGCCAGCATCAAGAAAACAATTTCACTTTTTCTCGCCCTGTCTCTCTCTAACACACACGTAGCATAGGCGGCTTTGCTTAGAGTAAAACATTAGCGCCTAGATCTCAGAGACTATAAAAGCTAGTGTAACCAAATTTGGTATCCACACTCCTAATATATCGGACCGAGACGAGTTTGTTTCAAAATTTCGCCACACCCCCTTCCGCCCCCGCAAAGGATGCAAATCTGGGGATATTCACAAATCTCAGAGACTATTAAAGCTAGAGTAACCAAATTTAGTATCCGCACTCCTGTTAGATAAAACGTATATCTCAAAATTTCGCCCCACCCCCTTCCGCCCCCACAAAGGACGAAAATCTGTTGCATCCACAATATTGCAGATTTGAGAAAACTAAAAACGCAGAATCATAGATAACGACCATATCTATCAGATTGCTGAATCTGGATCAGATCAGATAATTTTTGTAGCCAAAAGGAACAAATCAATTTGCATTGGCTACGCAGCGCCCGACGTCACGCTCAGACTGATTTTCTGTCTCTCTCGCACGCACTCTTTGTCGTGTCGTTTAATATTAGACGCCGCCTGCTGGAGGAGAGCCATACTGACTTAGTATCGGGTATAACCGTAGAGTTGCGGTCTCCGAAGCAACTCACAACGTTCCCCCTCGTTAAACTTAAACGCAGACAAACAGAAACAGTTAGTAACATTAATCAAACTTTAACTACGTGTTTCATCTCTCAGTCTGACAAAATTCAATTAAATGGACCTTAAAGCATCCCACATCGTGGAAGATTCACAGATTACAGACATTCAATATGAATATTTATTGAATGTTTAATCCCAGGCCCAGCTTCATTAGCAGTTCAATCTCTATTGTCATTTTCTGCAGCTCTTTAACTTCTCTCATCGAGCATTTGCCCCCGAGCATCTGCTATCTCAATTTATCTCCATCAGATTATATCGCCATCCCACCATCACAAGGAAGGAAACCAAAGTCTGAATCAACAATTACGAAATGCAACTGCAGTAAGCCACTGAAAGTATATGGGCGAAAAGGAGGAAGATCCACAAGGCAACTGTACGAATTCAAGTTTCAATTACTCAAACTAATTAGTTTTGCTGCAACAGTAAACCCCAAACATTTTGCATGCTAATCACTCGTAGGAATTTGCCCAGCTGCCGGCACAGTGAGGAGGCTGTTGCTCCTGCCGTTGTTCCGTTCTGTTGTTCGAAGTCCTGAATGGCCGAGAGGCCTACTTAATGCCAGACACAATGCTGCAGTGATTCCACAGCCTCTCCCTCTCCACTCCGCAGCTAGTGCCCCGGCCAACGCTCTCTGGCAGCCTTAATAAGTAATGCGTATGCAAAACGATAAATACACAAGTGTATCCCTGCTTGTGGCCGAGCAGCTGCAGGACTACAGGATGCAAAATGCAAATGCCAAGAAAGACAGGGTTTGAGCCTCCACTTCTGACGTTGACGGACATGTGCGGGACATTTATGGCATGTCCTGTTAAGTTTCGGACCACAGACGAGACCTCAGACCAGACCAAAGAGGGTTATGCATATTTATGTCAAAAGTTGTTCGATTCTGGTTCTGTGCATTTTGCATTCGAAAGTTTTTGCATAAGAAAAGTGTCCCTCAGAAAAAGACAATCAATCTGGTGCCACGCAATTACTTTTGCCAAGCTCCGGGCACAAGTGGCAGAGGACCAAGTCTGAGAGCAGTCCGAATGTCAATTGGTTTTGCTGCCTTTGATATTGCAACCGTTTTTGGTAACTCTCTAAAAATACGCCTGTCTGCCTGCCTGCCTGGCCTCCTGCCTGTCCGAGAGGGAGACAATAAATGCACAGAATACGAGAATTCGAATGGAACCATTCCCATATCTGATCCCCATTCAAGCCCTGCCTCTGTGCGCTGCTTCCCTCTGGGTTTGTTTGCTTTCCTGTCAAAGTTCAGTTCTCAGCTGTCAGTGCCATTTGAAGTGAAAAAATTGAAATAGATTTTCTGCATTTTGTCCTGGCTGCTGGCAAGGGTTTGCTGTTTTGACATGTAATCGGGAAAAATGTTTTGCATTTAAAACATTGCCAACACACGAGTACGCCACATAAATTCGTTTGCTAAACAAGAAATCTTATCCCTTCGTTCCAAAAATATTTGTTGACTCTGAAAATAATTGAAATGGTAATATCAATATATGTACATGTAGCATGATATTTTTCCAGATGTAGGGATGTCCTTTCTTGTTTATTTTATCAACTCCTGCAAATGCACCATCTATTTCTCGGCAAGAAAGCAGTCGGTGAAAATAGCTCCCCATTGAAACACATCGCTGTCAAAAATGTCCGAGGGAGTGCACAAAACAGCGTTTAAGCTGCAATTGAACCAGCCCTGCCCGGAAAATGTATAGAAATGTAGAAATGGTGTGCATAAAGCGATGACGAGGGACAGATGCTGGGACTGGAGCAACAGGAAGGTTGCGCCTGTTGTCGGCGGCGCATTGGGGGGCATTTTATGAGTCACTTGCTTCAGCCACAACAACGAATCCACTCAAAAATGATGCTTGCAACATGCGAGGAGGTGCAAGGCGAGGGTCCCAAATGTACAAGTGTAGGTGAAAGTTTATTTCTTGGCTCGCTGCCTGATGGAAATATTGGGCGTACGCCACTTGGACAATGGCAACGGCAAACGAATGATTTTTATTGCAATCGCAGTAAAATATTCGACGAGTTGTGGTCCGTCTAATCATCTGAAGTGCCAGCCAGCCGCAGAATTCTCTCGCATTTTCCTTACCAATTTTGGCCGCTTCCCACTCGTTTCCCATCGCTCACCATCCGACACGCCATCCGCCAGTATTGATGTATGAAATTTTATGAAATTTATGCGATGGTCGTCGCATAAAATGAACGACCAGCGAGTTCAGACGCGGGTTCAGCGTAAATGGAGGCAAAGCGTGGCCGAATGGTGGACGGGCGAAAATGGGCAACTGTTTGCGTCGCATTGCAGATGAAACCATTTTTTCGGACTCGAGAGACTGTTCCATTCCGTTCCGGGGAGTTTTTCCGTTTGGCGCGTGAGCAAATTAATTTTCAGCGCACAGAGCAAAAAATGGTTTTTGCCTGCTAACGGGAGGGGAGGGAGGTGGAGCTAGGTTTGAGTTTGGGTTTGGGGCAAGAGCCCAGAGATGGAAATGGTGTAAATGATACCAAACGCCTGGTGTGGTGTGGTCTAGCAAGCTCCTCCCCACATCTCCCCAAATCGCCCCACAGCTGGCTCAATGAATTATGAATTCGTTTTGCGAAAAGAAGAATTTGTTTTTTTCCAGCATTGCCCGGCCTTGGCTGCCCTCTTCCTAGCCATTCCACTTGCAGTTTTTATTCTGCGGCTGGAAATAAGAATAATGTGCTAAAATGTTCCCAGCCATGTTTCGGCCAGACTTTTTCTCGGCTGCCTCTTCCTCTGCCATTGCCTCGGATGCTGTTTGGTGTTGTTTCAGAGCCAGCGACCGAGAGAGAGAGCTGGCGACAGTTTTCGCAATGCCGGAAAATTAATATTTGTACAAGTGGATTTTGAGAAACATTTTTCAGCATTCTCTTTTCTTTTCTCCCGTTCCCGGCTAACCGCTGAAAGTTGAGGACAAACTGCGAGCTCTTTCTGAGCGAACAAGGAGATGGGAGAAGGAGTTTGCAAGTGGTTTCTTTTGCATGTGACAAGAATTTAGTGCCCATTTCGCTCGGCTAAGCCAGCGACTGTGAAGTGGCCGTATTTATTTTCGATAAAGGATTCTCGGGCATGACAATGTTTTTCGCAAAGTCTTAAAACAGCTTTCACAGGCTTTCCCATGAACACAAAAGAGTATTCCAACGTTAAATGATTACAAGATTTAAAACCCTTCAATGCAGAAATAACTCACATAACCACTGACATGGCTTAAGTAACAAGCAAATTATTTGAATGTAAGCTGGGACCTAACCTTTGTTGTCCGTTTTATCAATAATATTTTAATTTGAAAATCCTTTGTTTGAGCAAGATTTATCTTCCACCACAGGAGTCAATAATTAATTGGCAAAGAAAAGGCTATGCCCAAGTTTATTTATTCTGAGCTCCATTTACGAAGTTTGGTGAATTTTCTGACCAATTTGTATTTAATTTCTTAGGAAATCACTTGTCCCTTCCAATGAATAATGGTTGAACAACGCTGAGAGCGAATAAAACTTTAAAGCCAAAAATGAAAATAATTATAAACTTACACCAGACACTTATACACATATGCATATGCATGCTCGAGTACCTATGTATAGAGAATCCCAC